AACCAAAAGCCAACATTATTTTCAATGGAGAAACACTAAAAACATTTTCCTTGCAAGCAGGGACCAGACAAGGATGCCCACTGTTACCACTTCTTTTCAATATTGTACTGGAAGTGCTTGCTAGGGCAATATGACAAGAGAAGGAAAGAAAAGGCTTCCAGATTGGCAAAGAGATGATATGATGGTGTACACAGAAAACACCAAAGAGTCAACAAAAAAACCTGTTAAGAGTTAATAGGCCAATTTAGTAGAGTGGCAGGATATAAGATCAATATCCAAAAATCATTAGGATTCCTGTACAGTAGTAACAAAGAGAACTCAGAGAAGGAAATCAAGAAAGCAATACCATTCATTTATAATAGCCAACCACAAATTGAGATACTTGGGAGTGAACCTAACTAGAGAGAAAAGACCTATACAAAGAAAACAACAGAACATTTCTTCAAGACACAATAGAAGACCTAAAGAAATGGAAAAATGTACCCTGTTCATGGATAGGAAGACTCAATATGGTGAAAATGACAATCCTACAAAAGCAATCTACATATCCAATGCAATCCCAATCCAGATACCATATTCATTTTTCAAGGAGATTGAAAGGGAAATTATCAAATTTATTTGGAGAGGCAAGAGATCCTGAGTATGCAAAACACTTCTGAGAAACAAAAATGAGGTTGGAGGCATAGCACTCCCTGCCGTCGAAACCTACTACACAACAGTAGTAATCAAAACAGCATGGTATTGATACAATGACAGACACACAGACCAATGGAACAGAATTGAGAATCCAGAAATAGACCCAGCTATCTATGGTCAACTGGTATTCAACAAAGAAATCAAAGCTATCAAATGGGGAAATGAAAACCTCTTCAACAAATGGTGCTGGCAAAACTAGACTTCCACCTGCAAAAAGCTGAAACAGGATCCACATCTCAAACAATGTACAAAAATCAACTCAAGGTCGATCAAAGACCTGGGAGTAAAGCCCAAAACCATAATGTTCATAAGAGACTAACTGGGATCAAGCTTAGAAGCACTAGTCCAAGGTATAAAGAGACTGCCAAATACAACCAGAAATGCACAATCTAAAGAGGATAAAATTGATGCATGGGACCATCTAAAGATTAAATCCCTGTGCACATCAAAAACTTTTCCCAACACGGCAAAAAGAAAACCTACAGACTGGGAGCAAACATTTGGTAATACCATCTCAGACAAGAGTCTTATAACACAAGTTTACAGAATACTCCTGGGCCTCCACAGGAAAAAGACCGATAACCCAATTATAAAATGGGCAAAAGACATGGAAATAATTCTAACACAGGAAGATAAGTGAATGGTAAACAGACACATGAATAAATGCTCTAAATCACTGGCAATAAGAGAGATGCAAATCAAAACCACAATGAGGTACTATCTCACTCCAGCAACAGTGGCAAAGTTTAACAGGGCAGCAATTAATAGATGTTGCAGAGGATGTGGCGAGAAAGGAACTCATACATTGTTGGTGGGATTGTGAAAATGGTATAACCATTGTGGAAGGCAGTTTGACGCTTCCTCAAAAAGCTGAACATAGAAATTCCATATGACCCAGCTATTCCACTACTTGGAATATACCCTGAGAATATAAGAACTGAGGCACAAATGGAGATTTGTACACCAATGTTCACAGCAGCATTATTCATCATCGCAAGAACATGGAAACAGCCCAAATGTCCAATCACAAACGAATGTACTGAGAAATTATGGTATATTCACAAAATGGAATACGATGTAGTATGCAGGAGTAATGATTTTGTAAATTATTACCTAACTTGGGAGGGACTGGATAGCATTATGCTAAGTGAACTAAATCAGTCCAACAAGGATAAATATTGTATAAAAATCATTATTTTAGAATGAGTATAAGAATCCAAGAGGGTTGGGAGAGGGTGGAAGCAGACGGATGAGGATGTGTGGGGCAGGGGGGATTAATCATTGGGTTGTACAATTTGATGGGGGGGGGTTTGAGGGAAATTGAAAGAATTTGTTCGAATTTGTATTCCAATTTTGTAAATAAACTGTTGTTGTTGTTGTTATGTGCCGTCGAGTCGCCTGCGACTCATAGGGTCGCTATGAGTGAGTAAATAAACTAGTAAAGAAAAAAAAATAGCCTAGCTCAGGTAATCACCATCACTTGGCCCCAATTTATTCAGCCATAAAGTCAGTAACAATGACCTCTGCCTCATCACAACAATAAAAAAAATCTGTAAATTGTAACATGATAAAGGTAGCAACAATTCTTTTTCCTTCAATTCCCCTACTAGTCACCTTCAAAATGAAAGGAAAAGTAAAAAGTCAGTGAGGAAGAAAACAGGGGGCTGATTCCGTGTCCTGGGTCACAGTGAACTGAAGAATGAGGACATCAGACCCAGAACCAGAACAACAATGTCCTAGGACAGAACCCAACAGAATGGGGTCACTGCAGCCTCTTCACACACAGATTCCAGTTGGCAGGTGTGATGAGCCCCCGTTCCCCATACTCTGAGGACTGATTGCGACTTTATATTAACAGCTAAAGCAGCCCCTCACCTGTCTTCTTTTTGAAAGATGTATGAGGCCATGTCCACAGCTCTCTGCTCTATCATCTGTGCAAATCTCTTCAGTGCGGGGCAGCTTGGGAGGTTGTGCACCTGAAAGGGCCACATAGGTCCGGTGTGAGAGAAATGCTGAGCCTAGCTGCTGGCCTCTTCCAGGGAGCCCACGGGGCCTGATTTCCTGCAGCTCAAGAAGCTACGTCCCCAAGGCCCTGGAGCTAGTCTGACAGATTGGTGTCCCAGGGGAAAAAAAATTCCCACCTTTCTGATAAATTTCTTACAATTTATTTTAAAAACAATATTATTTTTATGTTCAAAAGAAAAGACAAATAAAATACAAAGCAAGGTACTAATCAATTTATACTTGGCCTTCATTTCCCCCAAAATGATTTCTAAAAAGGATGCCATGGAAACACTTTCTATAAACTCTGCCTTATTATCTTGAAACTTCTTGTCCTATAATCTCAGGAGCAGCTCTCACTCACACAGAAACACACTGCCGTTTGCCTGAGAGACGGAAGAAGGGTCTGGGCTGCTCCTCCTCTGGGTGTCCAACTTTTGAGTCTAGAGAAGCACTTTCTTTGTGTATTTTCCTAACATTTATTATGTGCTAAAAAGATTTTACGACAACTAAATTTGAGGAAAAGATAATTAAGCAAAATTAACTAGCTTTTTAAAATTATTAATTATTGCCACATAGATATTTGTAATATGCTGATGTTCATGCAGGTTTTCTCAAAAGTGGATCCCAGACATTTTAGATGACAATCCCTCCCAGCCCACTGCCACTACCCTCCCTTCTGCAAAACACACACACAGACACACACACACACACACACACACACACACACACATTCCAAGAGAATAAGGATTCTGTGAAACATGATTTAAGAAGCATCTATACTCCTGAGTGAGGAGTCCTCAAACTCATCAACTCCTCCATCTCACAACCATTCCATCTGCAAGTTCTATCTCCAAAAGAGGGGGCCTCCACCACAGTTGTAATTCAGGGAGATGCCTCAGCCAAGGCTCCCCTGGACCCGCAGCCCCCAGGTCCAAAGTGGACAAGCATCCTACCTGCTCAGCAGCCACATTGTCCAGGAGGATGAGGAAGTCCACCCAATCGCTACCGCTGATGCCCATCCCTTCCTTCACCTTTTTCAAGTCCTCTGAGATTCCTGGCTGTAAAGATGCAGCTTCTTTACGGCCTCTGCCAAAGAAAGGGGGATCTCTTACATTCCATAGTGCTTAAAAGCTCACAAAGTATATTTCATTCAAACTTTAGGATCTTGTTTAATCTTCACAACCCACTGGTGTTAGCTGGTATTACTTCCATTTCATAGATGAGTAAACGGAAGATCCCTGTGGATATATGATTTCTAAAAGAACTAGAGTCAAAGCCTAAACTTCCCAAATCCCACCCAGTGTGCTTTCTATTATACCTACAATGGCCCATGTGCTTGCAGACCAGTTGGATTTGCAGTTTGATGACTGAGACAACCATCTTTTGTTTAGCCTGTTTTCTCATCCTCCATGCTTGACAGAACAAGGCTGCAGGAAGGACAGTGCTTTGTAAATAGCAATCCTCAACTCCCCAGCTATGCGGGTCAGCTCTCCACCATAGCATTAGATTTCTCCAGGTTTCCGAAATCTTCACTATGACCCTGACACTTTAAGTAAGAGTTTCGTCACTTTCTGGACAGTGGACTTTGTCCACCAGCAGGGTAAGCTGCCTGAGGCCTCAGTGCAGGCAGGGTCCAGCCAACAAAGCTGGTGAAAGGCTGTCCTCTTCTAGTGAAAAGGAACACATAGGCCATTACCTGGTTTTTTGCCTTAGGCTCCAGCAGTTTTGGTAGTTGGGGTACAAGACTTCAGAGCTTGCTTCATCAGTGTGGATGATGATGGGCCCTGTAAGGAGGTTAAAGCACAGGCAGGCAGTACCTTCAGAGTAGTTCTTTCCAGTGTCCACACCTACTTCTATTTCTCTGGAAAGAAAGCTATTTCCCAAGAACAGTGATTACCTTCCACATATCCTTGCCCTGCTAACAGACTTCTCCTATTGCCTAAGTTAGGAAGAAAATACAAGAAACATTACTGTATCTAGCACAACCTCTACTATTGGGCCACATATGGATTTGCCTAAATACAGGATTAATCTAATTGGTACTTCTCTGCCATGTTTGAATGGCTTGTTGTTGTTATGTGCCGAGTCATTTGCAACTCATAGTGACCCTATGTACAACAGCCCAAAACTCTGCTCTGTCCTGTGCCAATCGCACTGTCTGATACACCCATCCAGATTACCCTAGTCACTGAATCAATCCACCTCCAAGAGGGCCTTCCCCTCCTGTGCTGTCCCTCCACCTTACCAAGCATGATGTCCCTCTCCTTACAACATGTCCAAAGTATGTTAGACGAAGCCTCAGAATACTTGCCTCCAAGGAGCCACCCGGTTTAACCCTTTCCAGGATGAATCTGTTTGTTTTCCTAGCAGTCCATGGTACCCTCAACACTCTTCTCCAGTACCACAGCTCAAAGGCATCGATTCTTCTTCTAGCATCCCTAGTCACTGTCCAACTCTCTGATGCATAACAAGTGATTGCAAAGACCACGGCCTGTACCAGACGCACCTTAGTCTCCAGAGAGACACCGTTGCTCTTCAGTCCTTTAGAGAGGTCCCTAACAGCTGACTTTCCCATCGCAATACATCTTTTAATTTCCTGCCTGCTGGTGTCAAGAGTGTTGACTGTGGAGCCAAGCAAACAAAAGCTGTGAACAATCTCAATCTCTTCATCCATCCTGATGCTGCCAATTGGTCCAGTGGTGAGAATCTTAAAAAAAAATCCCAGCTTCTAAGCACCCATTACCAGCAGTTATTCGAATGAAGAATGAGTTGTTCCTGACTTGAAAAAAACAGATTCCTTTCTTGCTTCTGAAGTCCAACGCTGTGGATCAGTATAGTGACAAACTGTGATCACAAGGTCAAGGAGCATCCTCTCAGATCATTTGGCAATGGAAAAAGGCAGCTTCCAGATGAACTTCCAGAAATCAAAGATTAGACTTAAAGCAATGTTGCTTATATGCCTCACAGCAATTTCCAGCTGTTCAAGGTGCCTAAGTACCCTTGGGCCTGCCTATCAAGGCCCCAAAAGGACATTCTAACACCTTCTTTTATTTTCTCTGTGCCAGAGATGCCCAGGGACTTTTATCGATTCCTTGTAAACCTCTACCTTCTCACTTAGTTCAACCCTGACCTGTCTGTTGACAAAAAGAACTCCCAACAAAACAACTCAGCTCCCAACAGTAGCGAACGGCAATTCACTGAGGTCAATCTACTGAGTGCTTAGAATGTTGCTGTTGTGTACCGTCCAATCAGAACGGACCCATAGCTGACCCCGCAGGAGGTTTTCAGAGGCAGTAAATCAGATGGGTGGAGACTGCCCACTCTTCTCCCGTAGAGCAACTGGTAGATTTGAACGTGATTTTGGCACTGCAGCTAAAGAAACTGATAGTCAAACCACCAAATCTTTAAAAGTAGCCTGTTGTACGGAACATGAGCCCTGCCAGGTGCGAGCAGACAGCTGCAATCTACGTGAGGCCCCCACACGTGCCCACCCGGACAGCTGCAATCTAAGTGAGGCCCCCACACGTGCTCACCCGGACAGCTAAAATCTAAGTGAGATCCCCACACGTGCCCACCCAGACAGCTAAAATTTAAGTGAGGTCCCCGTGCGTGCCCGTGCCACGAGGGTCTGCACGCATGCCCACCGGGCATATGCCTGTAGCGTGCCTGCCCCGTCCGTGCTCGCCCTGCACTCAGCCTTGAATTTCTTCACGTCCAGTCAACTAACTGCCTTTAGTCCAGAGCACCTGTCTGATTTAACCACAACAATTCACAACTCGAGCACCACAACAAGATAAAGGGAAACAAACCAACTGAGAAATGGACACAGGATATGAACAGACACTTCACTGAAGTAGACATTCAGATGGCGAACAAACACATGAAGAAATGTTCAAAATTCCTAGCTCTAAGAGATGCAAATCAAAACAACTATGAGATATCATTTTACCCCAGTAAGATTAGCAAAATTTAACAGAACAGCAAACAACAAATGCTGGTGAGATTGTGGAGAAACTGGAACCCTTATTCACTCTTGGTGGGAGTGTAAAATGGTGCAACCACTATGAAAGGCTGTATGACGCTTTCTCAAAAAGTGGCAAATGGAAATACCATTTGACCGAGCAATTCCACTATTGGAAATATACCCTAAAGAAACCATAACCTTCACCCAAGCAGATATAAGCACATCCATGTTTTATTGCTGCTTTGTTCACAATACCAAAGACTTGGAAACAACCCAAGTGCCTATCAACAAACGAATGGATAGAGAAGCTGTGGTATAGTCACACAATGTAATACTATGCTGCATTGAAAAACAAGGAACCCATGAAATATTATACAAAATGGGTGACCCTGGGGGATGTTATGCTGAGTGAAATATCCCAGTCACAAAGGAACAAATACTGCATAATGCCACTGCTGTAAAGCAGGACTTCAGGGTTGGGGGGGAATCTAAGAAAAGAGGGTTTAAATAATGTATACTGCATTGAAAGAGATGAGGGAGAGAACTGTTTAAAAGGAATATATGATTAGGTATTATTTTCATGACTAGAGTCCAGATTGAGAGCTGCATGGTGGAGTGGACTGGGCCAGAGGGATATTGTATAATAATGAAAGTTTGTTTGCTTGTTACTTTTCAAAGAGAAAAACTAACTGGGGAGAGGGGTGGGCAGAGAGGAACATGTGCAGCAATGAATGAATGAAAATCTAAAGTCTTTATAAACTTTCATTAAATCTCAATTAAAAAAAAAAGCAGCCTGTGGTAGGCTCTTGTGACTTTAGTGGTAAGGAGTTGTGCTATTAACTTAGACACCTGGTTTGAATCTGCCAGCTGCCCTCCAGGACAAAGGAGGGCAAACTCCTCCTGCAGGATTTGATTCTTGCGTGATTTACTGTCTGAAAAATTACCAGAGGGTCAGCAGTGAGTCAGTTCTGACTCAACGGTACATAACAACAACGATAACTTTGCTCATTATCAGAATACAAACATGCTTTTATTGGTCTGGATAGAAGAAAAAACACACAACAGAAGTCCCAACACCTGTAGTTTAATCTTGACTCCACACTAACTAGCCCAGGGAAGTTAGTTCCTGTCTCTGAGGTTCAAACGGATCACTTATAAATGGAAAGGGTTAGAGTGTATCAGTGAATTTCCATTGTTTTAAAGCAGTGGAACCCTTCCCATTTTCCCCCACCATTATATAATTAAAGGTGCTGACAGTTGCAAGATGGGGAGGAGGACAAATATCGTTCATTTGTACACCTCACCCATCCTTTCCTGTAGTTCCTGAGACCTCTCTGAAGAAATCAAATGACCAGAGGTCCTCCCCAGACAGGTAGATCTGTCTCGAGAGAGGCAAAAGAGTTGAGAGATAAGCATTGTGCATGCTGAAGCCAAACTACCAGAACCAGAACACCAGCTCCACCAGTTTACCAGATTTTGTGATCTTGGGCAAGTCATTTGGCCTCTCTCTGCCTCAATTCTCTTCTCTGTAAAATGGGGGTAATGATACCTATTTCACAGGGTTAGAGCTAGACTTAAACATGCTAAAATATGCAAAGCTCTTAGAAAAAAAAAATGCCCGGTGCATGTCAATGCTCTAAGAACAACAACAACAACATTGTGTCAATACCTACTATAACATATGATATACTGGATACAGTTTCTGACAAACATGGCATGTAACAGGCACGCAAATATCTGTTGAAAGAATGAATGACCAAGTAGGGTGAGCCAGCATGTTCCAGCTTCCTCCAGAATCTTGTTTTCTGTAACTTACTTACATCTGACCTTCTACAATTTTGCCAGGATTTTCACTCCTGAAGTAACATTTCAAATTGCATCATTTCCATTAAATAGCAATACCTTCTAAGGTCCTTTGCTCTATTCAAGTACCTTGACATTGGGCAAAGTGTGAAAGTAATTATGACACAAGTCAAATTGGGGTCTGAGGACCTCTGGGTTTGATATAGGAAGCTGCTATCTGGACAGCCACGTGACAGGCTGCTTAAGATACCACTTCCTCCCCTGCTGGAAACCTGAGGCAATCCCAGCCTGGGATCCATCTGTTGATCAGAGGGCCCCCAGGAAATATCCTTCATGGTGCAGTCACACCAGGTAGTCTTTCTGAAGACAACTGCCGTTTAGAATCTGAGCAAGTGAAACATCTTCAGTTTAGGCCCTGTGGGTTATTCCTTAGCTCAGGGCCTCCAAGGTGCAAGGGGCATCCCATCCAGTTTGGTCTTTGCTATGTAGAAAGGGATAAGGTCAGCCTTCTCTCAATCAGGAAAGATCAAACAGAAACCAGTCAAGTAGCTAGACCATGTGTGGATCAGCACAGAGACCAGAGCAGTAGTAGCAGACATGGTTCCCAGCTAAGTGTGCCTCCTAGCCTCTCTCTCTTTAGCATTGTTCACAAGGCCTGGTAATACTCCATTGTGCAGCTCATGGAGAAGCTTGAGAGAAGTCAGAAGGCAGACGCACAGGAGAGCAGGGATGCAGTGCTGCAGAGTGGAGGCCAGGCTGGGGAGGGCAGCAAAGGCCAAGTGGGAAAGGATCCACCAGAGTGGTTACAATGTGGCAGTCACACGTGGAGGAAAGAGACCAGGGAACAGGTACCAGGAAGGGAAGGGCCTTTTGAAAGAAGAAACTCCTCAGAGATAGAGGCTGATTTTCAGAACCCAGATACAAACCTTTTTTCTGACGTTGGAAAAGTCCAGCCAGCAAACAGCGGGTGGATTCCAGATTCCGATATATGTTAGTGGAACGGACACTGGGGGAAAGCCAAAACAAAAAAATTGAAACATTTAGGAATATTTCATTCTAAGTCACTCAGAGAGGGTAGCAGCTCTGAAGACTATAAAGAGAGCTACAGGGCTGGGAAGAGGGCTTTCTCTCTGTGGAATGGATACCCCAAGGGAATTCCTAAAGGCCAATGAGTGAACGTACCAAGTGACCACTGGTTACATAAAGGTACTTGCATCATAACCCCAAATGGTACTCAAAATTACTTTGGGTGAGAGTGGGACCACCCGGGAGATTAGGACAGGCTTCCTCCTGCGCAAGACCTTAAACTGGGTGCATCATTTCTTTCTCAAGTCACTCACGAGACCTCCACTGGGTTGAAGGTTGGTGAAAGAAAAGGGATGTCCTCCACGTAGTTCTTCCTCAACCTCTCTCCCAGGGCAAACATCTGCTGCATGCCCACCTTGGTCAACTGCCCCGCAAATATGCCACCCTGAGACAACAGAGAAAACGAGGTAATAAAACACGGACGGCCTGATAAACCTGGCCCAGAGGAAGCCCCTGGAGCCTTCCCATGGGCTTCCCAGGGGAGAAGAGCATCACTCACCTTCAGGGTGGTCTCATGATACTGAGAGTCAAAAGGAGAATGTGGTTTCGGGCCACCAGTCAGATTGGTGACTGTGTAGTCAAATTGAGTTTGGGGAGGCACTTCTAATAGCTGGGGGTTCCACTCTACCTGTTGTGACCACAAGAAACAACACATTGTGAGAAACGCTCAATGGAATGGACAGTATTTCATATCCAGCTTGCATTCAGAGTGCATAGCTGGAATCACCCCAAGGGAGGTATGGTATGGCGTCACCTGGCAAAAATCAATCTGCCCTTTGTTCTTAGTGTAGTCATACCAGACCACACCTGATGCTAAAGGGTGAGTGGCTTAATAAAGCAAGGAGTGGCCACCTAGCAATGCAACATTGCTTGACCTTGGGAACCATAATATAATCTATCCCATTATATCCATCATGATATAATCTATCAAATGGTGAGGCTACTGAAGACACTGAATATGAAGGCTCAGAGGGCTTCCTGGCTGGTGAGATGGTTTGCTTCAGGGACATGTCCCTTGGGACACGGACACTTTGTATTGGGGATCTTCCCCAAACTTGCCCTATGAATCTCTTCATTTGTATCCTTCTTTGGCTGTAATAAATCTGTAGTCTGGTCTACTCTTTATGAGATTTTATGAGTTGTTCAACATTATTGAATCCAAAGTGGTAGTAGAAGCCAGCAGGACAGGAGGCTGGAGTGCTATGTGGGCTTCTGAGCCTGTGGCTGGCAGTGGGAAATGATTCCTAAATCTGGCCAGCAAGGCAGATGTTTGGGGTGCAGTCTGGACTTCTCAAACTTACAGCTGGTGTCTGCCCATCTGGCAGTCGGAAAGATGATGTCCTTTTAACTTGTGAACTCCGACTTGGCTCCAGGTCAGAGAAGTGCTGCATGCTGGTCTAAAGATTGGATCTCTAATCTGTAAGCTCTGACCTAGCTTCAGGTAGCTAGGATTGGAGACAGTATTGGGGAATCAGCTGGCGATGAGGATGGAGAAATCAGAAGAGGAGGACTAGATTAATTCTTTGATGTTAAGGATTAGCATCATTCTAATCCTTATCATATAGGTGACTCTAGTGCGATAGCCCACTACTTAGCAAATCACTAAGATCTGCAAACCCTATTATTTGCTTGCCTTCTATAGGAGAGAAGGAAAAAAAACTTGTTTCTACTTCCAATTAAAGATGAAAGCACCAGTTACTTATTCTAGATCCTGAGCCTAAACCCTGTTATTGCTACACTGGTACTCACTCTAATTCTCTTTCATGACCCATGGGACATATATTGCCCTAGCATTTCCAGCCTTGTTTTTGGGTTTCCTGGGAAGCTGCTACCCAGTTGTAGTATGTACTGTTACCTGGCAGGGACCAGTGTTAAGGACATGGATCTGAAGAACTGGGCTCACATCCCCAATCGAGAGTCATTCTGCTGGAACATAAGTGCCCCATGTCATTATATCAAAGTCCATATTTGATGGACCCCTCCAAAAAACACCCCCCCCATGATTTCAGCACACTTTCTGTTAGTAAAAACACATGGCAACTACACAAAAATTCAAAGCAGAAAATAAATGAGTCATGTTGTTGTTGTGTGCTGTCAAGTTGGAATGATCCCTAGCTGATCCTCTAGCAAGGCTGTAAATTGCAAGGGAGGAGATTGCTTACCCTTCTCTCTCTTTTTTTTAAAATTTCTTTATTTTTCATTTCAATGAACATCTACAGAGATTTTGGAATTCCATTCATTCATTCATTGTTGCAC